AAAAAATTAAAAAGAGAAGAAGAAAAATACACAACTGAAATTAAATTTCTTTAGATTGGCTCAAGAACAGAATGGAGATGACAGGGAATTATCAGTGAACTAAAAGTACATCAGTAATTATCCCACCTGAAGAATAAAGAGAGGAAAAAAAGAATCAATAGGCTTTCAGGAAACCTAAGGGACTATATCAAAATGCCTTACATAAATGCCACTTACGTAGATGTTTAACTTTACTTAAAAAAAAAAAAACCTACCCTAAATTTTCTACGCCCGTTTCTAAATATGTCACACCACAAACAGGGGAACAAGTCCAACGACGTTGGATTTCTTACCAGAAACCATAGAGGCAAGAACAAAGCAAAACAACATTCTTAAAGTTCTGGGGCGTGGGGGGAGAAGGGGGGGGAATGGGAATGAAAATGGCTAATGAAAATGTTCTAAAACTGAATATGGTAATGGCTGCACAACTCTGAATATATTAAAAATTATGGAATTGTACACTTTAAATGAGTGAACTGTATGGGATGTGAATCATCTCAATATACTTGTCATATTTTTAAAAAGCAGCTAGACAAAAAAAGTATATATGATTCCTGACATAACATTCTAGAAAATACAAAGTAATCTAAAATAACAGAAAACAGAAGGATCCTTAGGGATGGGATTAGAAGGAGGGATGCATAACAAAGGGACACAAGAAAACTTTCAGGGTTACCGGAAATGTTTATTTTGATTGTGGAAATGAAGTTCAAGTATTTTTGCTCATCGTACTTCAATTTTACTTAAGTAACACAAAAAAAATGAGAAAATGGGGGCTCCTGTCTGGCTCAGTCGGAAAAGCATGCAACTCTTGATCTCGGGGTTCTAAGTTTGAGCCCTACGCTGGGTGTAGATATTACTTAAAAATAAAATCTTCTTTTAAAAGTGAGAAAATGTATAATGTACTACTAAATCAAAATCTTTTATGGAAATGGGACTAGATGCGTTTTTTTTGTCATGGAATCCAACAAAAAATCAAGGCTCAGTGATCGTCGGGAAAACAAAACACTTCTACTTTTGACCTCTCTTTACAATTAATTTTAAGCGCAGGTGTGGGGGCCCCTGGGTGGCACAGTCAGTTAAGTGTCCTGACTCTAAGTTTCAGCTCAGGTCGTGATCTCAGGGTGGTGAGATCGAGCCCCACGTCCAGCACGGAGTCTGCTGGGGAATCTCTCTCCCTCTCCCATGGCCCCTGTTGCTCATGCTCATGCACTCTCTCTCTCACTCTCAAATAAATACATCTTTATAAACATAAATAAATAAAAGCAGGTGTGGGGTAAGCATATGTTATATACTATGTTCCATCAGAATAATCCTGAGAGGGGCACATGGCTGGCTCAGTCACATGTGACTCTTGATCTTGGCGTTGTGAGTTCAAGCCTCACACTGGGTATAGAGATTAAAAATAAAATCTTAAAAAAAAAATTAAAAAAAGAACAATCCTGAGATACTTAAGCCATCTTGACAGATGTTTAACTTTACTGGGGGGGGGGGGAACGACCCTAAATTTTCTATGCCAGTTTCTAAAACACTATTTAATTATTAACAACACTAACTACTTTAGGAAAGAGATGCCGTTTTACTAATTCATGCGGGCTTCAAAACACCAAAGTGTGCTAATATACTCCATCAGTCCTAACGATAAATGTGGAGTGAGAAGCTGTCAGAACATTTCAGAACAGAAAAATTATGAACAAAAAATTCTTGTACCAAAAAACTGCCCTGTGCTGGGCCACCTGGGTGGCTCAGTCCGTTGAGTATCTGACTCTTGATTTCAGTTCAGGTCATGATTTCACGCGTCATGGGATCGAGCCCTACATCGGGCTCCACGCTCAGCAGAGCCTGCTTGTCCCATTCCCTCTCTGCTCACTCTCTCTCACTCTCTAATAAATAAATAAAATCTTAAAAAAAAAAAAAAAACTGCCCTGTGCTAATATGCATGTACGCATGAGAAAATGTTTAGGGATGAAGTGTACTAATATGTGCAACTTTTAACCTATCAAAAAAATGATTGGCAGATGCACTGAGAGATGGTAAATAAATAATAACGCAAATAGAATAAAATGTTAATTGTAGAAGCTAGGTCAGTATATGGTGCTCACTGTTCTACAAACATTCTTTCAACATTTCTATAGGTTTCAACTTTTTCATAATAAAATACCAGAGCAAAAAGCTCTGGAAACAACAACAAAAACCTACAGAAACATGAGAGCTAATTAACTAGTGGCCCTGTGCCATTCTCAGTATATGAAAAAGTGAGTAAAACTTGAAAGATCAATTTTCCTAAGTTAAAACCCAATACAGAGTATACACAAGGAAAGCACGGCAAATACAGGCAGCCCTCACCGTACACTCTGCAGGACACTGTAAAAGTAACTGCAAGCTAAAGCTCTAGGATGCAATCTCAGTGAGCAATGGAAAAAACCACAATTAGTCCATAACCTTTATTTTTTTAAAAGATTTAATTTATTTATTTGTCAAAGAGAGAAAGAGCACAAGCAGGGGGAACAGCAGGCTCCCACTGAGCGGCGAGCCTGATGCGGGACTCGATCCCAGGGCCCCAGGATCATGACCTGAACCGAAGGCAGACGTTTAACCGACTGAGCCACCAGGCGTCCCAGTCCATAACCTTTAAAAACTTTTGTCAAAACATTAAAAACTCTCTTAGACAAGAAACTGAAGTTTACTGATCCTAAGAAATAAAAAATGCTTCTAATTTTGATCTCTCTTTATTTTAAAGAGTCAAACTAATGCTGTAAAACACCAGGGAAAAAAAAATCCCAATACTGGTAAGGAAAATATGAAACTTCATGTTTTACACTTAGCTTCTTAACTCTAAAGAAACAGTTACTTCAAGAACAACATTTAAAGCTATGAGGAGATAGAAACACTAATAAAAATCGGATTATCCAAATGAAGTGGCACAGCCTGCTTATTAGCTAAGAAATTTGTTGTGTCTCCTTTCTTTTTTTTTCTAAGTAATCTCTACACCCAACATGGGGCTGAAACTTATAACCCCAAGATCTAGAGTCACATGCTCCACCGAATGTACCAGCCAGCCACCCCGAGTAATTTGTTTTGCTTAAAGTTAGCATTTACCCATTTTACGAGAAATAGAAAAAAATTAAGGAATTAAAGTTCTACTGACAACACATTTTTCTCTGACAGAACCTGGAAAATAATTTACACAAGCAGTTATCTTACATGTATTCACATGGACTATAAAAGCACCAGGAACATATAGTTGCACTGGGGGGTGAGGGACAGTCCCTAAGAAATACCTAGAACCTAGAAGCTATAAATAAAAGATCAATAAATTTGATCTCATTGAAATACAAAATTTATGTGCGACAAGACGTCAAAACAATAATCAACAGGTAGGGAGAAAGTATAATGCATGTAATAAATCAAAGGGGTTAATAGCATGCATAAAAAGGTCTCTTCTGGGGTATCTGGGTGGCTCAGTAGGTTAAGCACCTAAATTCAGCTCAAATCATGATCTCAGGGTCGTGGGATCGAGCCCTGCATCTGGCTCCACACTCAAGAGGGAGTCTACTTATCCCTCTCCCTACCCCCTCCCCGAGCTCCCGAGCTATCTCGCTCTCAAATAAATAAAATCTTAAAAAAAAAACAAAACTCTCTCCTATCACTAAGAAAAAGACAAGTCCATAAAAAAGATGAGGGAAACTGTGAAGGAAGCAATCCACAGCCAATGAACATGAAATAAATTGAATTACACCAGCATTCTGAAAACACGTAATGGGAATCTTTTTCTCAAAAGGTTACCAAGGATTTAAATAGAATATGCCACACTGGTAAGAGGGAGAGAAAACTGGTACTGAGGCTACTGCTGGGAATATTACACAGTCCAGCCTGCCCCGCCCCGCCCCGCGCCAAAACCTTTCTGAGGTAAACCTAGCATTATCTACGGAAATATTAAATAACAGTATCACTTGATTCAATTTCACCTCTAGGAATTAATCCAACAGAAATACTTGCATGTGTTCACAAAGAAATATGTACAAGGATGTTCTAAACCGCAACAGCAACTTTTGTTAATGTGGGGGGGATGGGAGGACAACCTCATCATCCACTTATAGAAAAACTCTGCATTTACAGAAAACTATGCTATCACACAGATTTATATTTACAAAAATAGCAAAATTTGAGACATATTTAGTAAAAACCACTGACGAATACAGTTTTTGAGACACTTTAAGATGCATGCACCCCACACATACAACTCTGTACACGTGTACACAAAACAACAAAGGGTCCAGAAGGCATATGTAACCAAACTTTCATTAATGAGGCTTGGGGAAAGTGGAATTCTTTAATTTTTTCCTCCATATAATTCTTTCATATTATATGTTTCTATGGATTCACATATTCTTTTCTAATAATATCAGATTAATGAGAAAATAAATGAAAGCAGGACACAAAAACCATAGATATAAAACATACAGAAAGAGAGGTTTAGAGGGTGATAAATATAAGAGACTTGACATGCAAATAACAAATGTTCCAGAAAAGGAAAAACAAACAGATAAAGAGAAGCAATAATTAAATTCCAAAAGAAATTCCACTAATCTGGGGACAGACTCAAACCTGAAAACTGATGAGGGTCCACAAAGCTTCAGACTGGTGGGGTTCGGAGGTAATTACCGGCTTTTCATGTACAAAACTCAAACTCAGAAACCACAACCTAGGAACATATTCTTTAAATAGACTGTTTCCATAACTTTGATTTTGGATCCAGGTAAATATTTTGCTTACTTATTTTTTAAAATGAGGCTATGTATCAAGTTGGTGGAATGAAATACACAGAATACAATTATTCCAGGGCGCCTGGGTGGCTTAGTCATTAAGTGACTGCCTTCGGCTCAGGTCATGATCCTGGAGTCCCTGGATCGAGTCCCGCATCGGGCTCCCTGCTCGGCGGGGAGCCTGCTTCTCCCTCTGACCCTCCCCCCTCTCGTGTGCTCTCTGTCTCAAATAAATAAATAAAATCTTAAAAAAAAAAAAGAATACAATTATTCCAAATGCCTTTAAAACATAATATTTGACTACAAATCCCTGGAGTGACATACCTTGAAAATAAAAAAAAAAACAACGGGGGGGTGGGGTGGGGTGAGGATAATAAAGGTTAAAAAGTGTCTTCAGTATCACACTGCTAGTGACAGTGCTGGTACTATAATTCTGTGACTTGTGTGTGAGAAAAGCAAATGAGTAATTATGTTGCTATCACTCAGCAAAAGATTTTGAGCAGGAAAGGGGATGCTGAATTAAAATAGATAATGAGGTTCAGTAAAAACCCTGTAAATCTGAACTGCAAGTAATATGAACACATGATGTATCTTTAAATATGTGCATCTTCAATCTGTGTCTACCAAAGAGGTCTAAAAATAATGACTTAATTCAGTAATAACAACTATCCCTAGATCCTATAAATGCCACATCCCACAAAAAGCAAAATGGCCAAATCTAGGTCTGAGACAGGAAATACATGAGAAAGCCAGGAACATCTTTGTCAGAGTAGAAAACAAGAAAGGTATCAAAGACAGGGTTGCAACAAAAAACCCCAGTCAACCTTAAGAGGCTTCACCCAACCCAAGATGAAACAACTGAACTTCAGTAATAATAATAACAGATGGAAGCAAAGAAAATGTATTTAAATCTATGAATTTGTATTACTCAAACCAACTCATTCTTGTGAAAACCTCAGCACTACTGACATTTTGGGCCAAATAATTAATTCTTGTAGGGAGCTCTCCTGTACCTGGTAGGATATTTAGGAGCATCCCTGCCCTCTAACAACTAGAGGCTACACGCTATTAATCCCTTCCAAGTTATGACAACCAAAAATGTCTCCAGACACTGCCAAACATCCACTTCTGAACTAGTCTTGCCAAAAAGATCACATGTGAATCTGATCAGGTCTCTACATATACTTGCTAGTTTGCAAGAAGTTCAGGAACAGGAGACTGAAACAGTACCAAGGGGATGCAACAATAACATTTAGACTGAGTCTCCATGTAACATATTTATTTTTTAAATAACAAAAACAGAAAGGAAAAAGCAATGAAAACACAATGAAGGGAAACCAATAGATCACAAGATGTAAGGAAGAACTCCCTGCAATATGTGGACTGTATACGGATTACATGGGCTGGAGCAGGAACAGGAGAGAGCACTGACACAGGGAGAAGAAAAGGGAAAACCAAACCAAAGAAGAAAAGAAATAAATTAAGTAAATGAAGACTCAATAAAAAAATTAAACTTAAATACAGTCTATACAGTTCTATAAATATAATCATGTATGTGGGCATATGTACAAAATCAACTTTTAAAATTTCAATAAAAAGGAGATTCAGGATCTCACAGCAGTTCAAGTCTATAATTATGTACAATAAACATTAATGGACAGTACCATGAAAGGAGAAAGACAATGTAGCAATTGAGTTTTAAGAAATACAAACCAAAATATTCACTCATTAGATAAAAACGTCTACTTGGCATGTATTTTTTTAAAGCACCTTTTCTTTCTAATATGATAAACCATGTAACAACCAAATATGGCAATAAATAAGCAAACAAGAATGAAATAAAGTAACTTACTAACTGAGCCAAGTACATACCATGGAGTACCAGGAATAGGGGTAGTAGCTACTGGCTTTGCCTTCTGGGCAGCCTTTTCTTCTTCAGTCATCTCCTCCTCTTTGGGCTCCTATGGGAAATGATGTTACTCCCATTTCATTAGTATCATAACACTATACCTGAATCTTACACAAATACAAGTAAAACTGTGAACACCTCAAAGTGCAACCAACATAAGGTCTGTTACTAGCATAGTGAGGACACTGAGTAGGATGCTAAGAAAGTTCTAAATCCTTGCTCCCTAGACAGAGCTGAATTCTACAACAGCAGACCCCAGCAACAGCAGATGGTCCTATCTTACAGACTCACTAACCATCTGCTTAGAAGCAGAAATGGAGAACTTAAGATAGAAAATCAGATGAGACCTCTTCAATTAAGGTTACTTCTTTCTCCTGCTAACTTCCTTACTAATAAAACATGACTACCATTAGTCCCTCACTGAATAAAGCAAGCTTCCAAAAAGCAGAGCTCTTTTAGTGCTCTATAGAGATCATTCCATGCCAGGAGAAGACAGATAAAACATCCCCAAATATAAATCTGTACTTATAATTTTTACCATGTGCCAGTCTATAAATCAGGAGGTTGGGACTGGGGTCGATGCCCTGGTCCAAGGCCCTTTCTTTCTAGGGGCCTTGGTTTACTGTAAGAAGTAATTTAATGAAACTTTCACAGGAAAAACTGAATTACAAACTTCACAAAGAACCCCAAAATTTCAGAAATCAGACTAAGGACAATTATCTAAAACTGTATCAGATGGGTTTTCAATTACAAGTAAATTGTACCCAGCAATTAATACTGGCTCCCAGGTTAACAGGTCATGGCCCTTTACCTCCTTTATCTCCTTTATCGGCTCTTCTTTAGGGTCCTCCTCCTCCGTCTCCATTGGAAGAGGTTCTTCAGAAGGTTCTTTAATTGGCTCTTTAATCTTCTCCTCTAATTTTTCTATTACAAAGTTAAGACAATGTCACTCAATGGTCTTTGGTGTAATTTTCCAAGAACTTTCAAATACTAAGCAATTAAGACATTCCGTAACTAGAAGTTACTAACCACAAAGATAAAATGTTCTTCTTTGTATCATCAATTTCAATATAATGTACTGGTCAACTTCAAATACCCTGCTATACCATCAGAAAACTGTCACTAGAAAAGAAATCACTGACTGCAGAGGGACATAGTCTTTCAAGTCACTCATGTATCCTTTGTAGCAATGATTCATTTTGCTCAAAGGGACAAGATACTAAGATACTTAGAAACAGGAACTTGTGATACAGAAAATTATATGAGTTTTCTTCATCCAAGACTTCAAGGGCCTACATTTCTTTCTTTAGAACAGATGCAATACAGACATCTCTTCCTGAGAGTACTATCAATCTCAGTAATTACACAGGAGAATAATTATGCAATTCCTAACACAGAAATATATGTGTACAGATGTGTAATTTAATTTCTCCAGATGGAAAAATCATGGACAAATATGTAAGTGGAACTGGCTTTTTAAATACATATTTATCAATTTGATACAAATTATCCAACAACTATAGAATTAGTAAATCCTTCAAATGTGTTAAAAAAGGAATTAACTCAGAATTTCAAATAGCATTCTATTTATTGTATCATAGCTTTTACTACGTCTCAACAAGTCATTAAAATTATACCTTTTTCCTTTAGCTCTTGGGGTTTTTCCCAGGTTGATTCTAACGTTCTATTATTATAGTAATACGTCTTTCCATCCGCTGTTTTATACTCAGTCCACTCAGAAACTGCCGTCGCTCCAGCTAAGGTAGCAGGGGAAGCTGCAATAGCAACCTGGGGGTGTATCATAGGTACGATAGGAGGGGCCATGCCTGGCAACACACCTAAAAGAAGAATAATACAAAGTTAGGTCCAAGTATCAAATTGTATAGCAAAATGAAACTTTAAAATATGAGCTACATCTTTCTATTAAATATTAATAAAAGAATGAGCCAGTTGGAACAAAAACAACTTACTTAAACGTGATTTAATTAATTAACCCTATTTCCCTGGTTTAGTTCTAAGATCTAAATTCAATTAGATTCAGAAATTCAACCCAAGAAGTACCTTAAGAACAGTCAAAAATTTGGACTGAAGTTATGATGAAGTCCTAACAATAATTATAAAAATCATGACACATTCTGTACGTGACGAGAAATATATTTTTATAAAGAATTTCTCAAATTCTAATGAAATCAAGACAACAAACGTATTTCCTGAGCATATTTCCTGAGGCAAATTACTTTCTAGTTCTAAGGTACCTAAAAGGGTATGAATAAAATTCTCAGTTTTAAAGTAAATGACTGAGTTTATTATCAAATCCACGTTAATATACTAAGTGATTAAGTTAGATGTCCCTGTTAACTCTGTCAGTTTAGTCTTTTCCTTAAAAAAAAAGGCAGTTTCTTCTGTTTTTTAAAAGATAAGCCAAAATTAGTATTTTTTTTTACAAGACAGCTACACAAGCTGACATTATACAAAAATAATTAAGGATATACAAATCCAAATTGAAAAAAAAAAAAACCCTCATATCCTATTCCAAAATTTAAGTTTCAGGTAGCTATCTTCAGTAAGTTTCAAATGTAAATTTATACTATATACACAAATATTCACACACATATACTCACTAGCATGCAAGCATAATCACATCACTTTACACATGGAAATGATTTTTTTATATTTAACTTAAAAACACACATCAAAAATAAAATTAAATGTTATGAATATGAGAATGAAGTTGTTTACACTTATTACAAAAATTAAGATATAAAGTGATCTGACCTTATTTGCTTTTGTGAACCAAAGAAGCTAATACTACAGGCAATTGGGAAAATTAAGTGTTGGCCAAATATGACAACTGCATTTATACTGCTCATTAAAAAGAAAAATATAAAAAAATCCACTCACTTGGGCAAAAATAAATAAATAAAAGGATAAACAACAACATTCACTACCATGCCAACTTACAGACAAAACAAACTAAGATGGTTTTAAAAATTACCGGTCTTGGTGGTAGCGACTGTCTTTACATACGGGCAGCTGACTATTTGCATCATTGCTACACCTGTAAAATGGATAAGCAAGCATACGTTGGAAAGCTGCCATGGTATGTCGGCTACCACTGGGATTCAGGGAAGTAATTTACCACTACAATTTAGAATGCTATTTCCAATGAAAAAGACCAGGAATGGAGTAGAATTTCTTTTTGTTTGACATTTTGTGGGAAGTGGTGCCAAATCCAATGATAACTAATTCTAAATTATAGCATCAATTACCTTTTTATCAAACCAGCTCTGATAATATTTGAAGGAGTCTTGAGAGTTTAAATTCAATGAAGGAAGCCCCTTCATTACAAATATATAACAAGTTCTCGTGTGGGACATTTTCCCACAGGACATCAAACCCATGCTGCTGTTGCTTAGATACCAGTGAAAGGCAGATGCAGCATGACACTGACAAGACGCTTTCTCTGTGCTGCTGCTAAGTGGGAACTACATGCAGAAGCTGAGGCATGGAGCATAACCATGCAGAAGGAGAAAAAGAATAAAATAGGACAAAGAGGGGTACAAGAGAAAGGAAGAAAGTAAGGTATGAGATGGATTCAAAATTCCAACGCAAATAATATTTTAAATAAAAGGGCTGAGATGAAAAGAAGGGTAGCATTCAACTAATGACAAAATATCCATGTTTAGGACCTGCTCTATGGAATGTCACAGGCCTGAAACAGTGTGGAAGCAGGCTAACATGTGAAGAAAAATACAGCCCCTTTAGTAGCACTAATGACTACATGGGCTGATTGTTCAAAACCTCTATTATTTAAGCCAACTACAGAAGCAGCACTTGTATCAAAGAATGGAAATTACGTACAGTTCTTAGAAGAATGAAGACTCATCATGATGCATTACAATGGTGATAAAAAGGGAATGAAAGGGAAAGCTGGAAAACTAAGACTGATTAATTGAAGAAATCCAAAATTAAGTGTGAATTAGAAAAAAATTTTTAAAGGAAAAGGCTGAAGGCTGAACGCAGGAAGAAAAGGAGTTGGGGGACTTAGTTTTAATTTCTATTTGTTTGGCTGAAAAAACTAAACCTAGTTTAGTACCAATGAAAATTTAAAATAATATACTATTTTCCCCACTAAAGTATAGGAAAAGAAATTTAGAGTTAAAAACTGAAATTAAACCCCTGGGTTTGTAAATAATGTACCTAAGTTCACGCACACACACACAAAAATACTGCCAATTTTTGAAAAATGCCTTTAATTTCTTATTTACTATTTTAAGTAAAGAATATTAGAGCTAAAATTTCTATTACCTCTGAAACTAAAACAAAGGCACTGGATCATAAAAGCATGCTGAGTTAAGTCATATGTATGGTTCTGTTTTCCTTAATGTTAAAAGAAAGCAATGGAAAAATTCATTTGGTTAAATAAGTTACACCACATATTAGGTTTAAATTAGTATAAATACTGCCATCTGCAGGACCACTGAACCTAGTAAGTCAGGCCTGGAAATTCAATTCTTAGAATACATGAACTTTTCTTCCCCTCAAACAATGTTCTCCAAAACCACCCGCCAAAAGGTAATTTTAACTATTCAACTTAAACAGAAGAAAATCAAATCTATTCATATTTAGGCCTAAGTGCCATTGTTAAGGATCAACTGGGCCAACACAGAACTCCTATATTTGACTGACAACAGAGACCATACTGAAAGGTCATATGTGTTTCTTCTCAAGCTAAAAAGATAAACTTAAGGTTTTCTTTGAGGGTAACTACATACATAAGACTCACAAAACTGCCACACATCTAAATTTTTAAACCTCTAAAGGGAGCATCTAGGACGTCTGGGTGCCTCAGCTGGTTAAGCATCCAACTCTCAATTTTGGCTCAGGTCATGATCTCTGAGTCGTGAGATGGAGCCCCATGTCAGGCTCCATACTCAGCAGGGAGTCCGCTTGAGAATTCTCTATCTCCCTCTCCCTCTGCTCGTGCTGGCTCTTGCTCTAATAAACAAATTTAAAAAATAAAATTTAAAAAAATCCAAAGGGAGCATCTATTCAATCTTCCTATAACTTTATTCTCAAGTTATGTTCTACTAGGAAATTAGAAAATTCCATTTAGCATTCTGAATAGTTCTGATGTCAGTAAGTTTCTTAAAATTCCAAGTAAGATTTTATAGTCTTAGACTTAATTCTTCCACTCTTTTCCTTCATCTTATTTGATTATCCTTTCCTTAATCATCCTCATTAGAGCCATACACTGCTATTACAGAGAGAACTTAAAGCTCCAGGATAAATCACATCCAAATCTTTCCTGTTTACCTTACTGCCAAATTGATAAAGAGAAACAAAAAGAGCTGTGTATAAAAGATTTGGGGAAGAGAAAAACAAGTTGTCTTTTCCTTTTTTTTCCTCCCACTAAAGCACCTTGGAAAACTGAGTTTTTAAAAGGGAAAATGAGAAAATGAATTCATAATATCAAAGATGCCTTACCATATAAACAAATATTATTATTATTTTCTATAAAACATTAACTCTTTAAGGAATCTTGGCATCTTGGGACAAAATTTTACAGATTATCTAACTCAAGCTCCCTTCCAAATGACCTACAAAATGACATTAGTGACTGTCATTTATTAAATGCCTTTTACTACTAAACTTCGTAAGTACCACCTCGCTTGATCAAATGGTCACCACCATCTGTTTTAAAACTTAAAGATGGGGTGAGGGTCAGAGAAGACCATATCAAAACAGACCTATAAGTAAAGGGATTTTATTGTGATAAAATTCAACAGTCTATAGAAATGAATTTTGCTACTCTGTACTTTTCACCCACTGGTCCCTATTAAGAACCTCCAAAGCAAAACAAAAGTCCATTTACAAAACCTCTCAAATACTTCGGTAACATCACCATGCTATGCCTCAATCTTCTCTCTACAGAATTCACAACCCCAGCTCCTTCAGATGATTCAGAATCCAGTATATGGTCTGAATACTGTCCTTGATCCCAAAGCAGAGCAAGACTGTGAGAGCTTATGACCAGTGTCAACCTAGTCTCCATGTATCACCTGGTTTTCTACCAAAAGTATATCCAGAGGCAATTATCCAGCAGCTTGTCTTAAAATTTAATTTAGAAAAAGGATAATCCCTAGTACGAGGAAACATTTTTGGTCTTCTTCTTACTTTTAAATGATTTGAGTTTCTTAAACATCATATATTGGGTATTTAATTATCTAACACTATATCAACAATATGCGAAAGGTTTTCCTTAGGGGAAAAAACCTCCCTAATTCTTAAAATTTTTGGTTTCTTTCTTGCTAAGGTTCAATACCTAAGTGGCTGCTTCTTTTCCAAGCAGTCACAAGGAAAAAGACAATTAGAACAATAGCGATATTTAAAATATGTACAAATCTAAGAAACAGCTGTACTACAACCCTATTCTTACATAAAAACTAGTACAATAAAACAGCAATAATAGATAGCATGAGGAATATGAAACTGGGAGACAAGAGGCCTACATTCTATCCATCTTTGCTACACACTAGACCTGTGAACTTGAGCTAAGGTATAAAAGCTTCAAACTGTAATACTAGGAGAAGAGACCATGGATTAAGGGTTAAATGTGTTTGCCAAAAGCATTCAAATTAGGATGCCCGACACTATCACTGTTTAATCCCTACAGGAAAAATTCTACGCCACAATCTCACTATACCTATTTAAATGTTTAAATGATGCAAATTATACTTAACTTCACTTCATGTTACAAGGAAAAGTTCTGGTTTTGCTTTAGATGAATTTCTTACAGTTAAGTGATTCACATTTTCTTCCCAGTATAGCACAGTTATTAAGAGCATGGTATTCGGGTCTGGAGTGCTCAGCTCATATCCCAACATCATCACTTATCAGCTATGTGACCATGGGCAAGTCATTTAATCTGTCTGTGTACCTACCTCATACGATGGTTGCAAAAATTAAACTGAGTTATTACATGTAAGGTGCTTAGAACAGGGCACAATATATAAAATCATTCAATTTGTATTAGCTAGTAATGACTTGTAAGTTCTCAACTTCACAGACTCAATCCTTTAAAGATATTGCATTTGAACATAGTTACATGAAAAGATGATCATTTTTAATTCACTGAGGCCATTATCCAAAAATGAGTGTAACTTCAAATGTGGCTCTAATTTTAAGACATGTAAACAACAACAAAAAAAGGACAGTTACCAAAACTGAAGAGAAAATATTGCAGTTAGCCATGAATCTTTCAAAAAACATTTCAAACAGGTGAGATTCAAGGCAAATTTCAAATGCAACAGACACATGAGAACAAACTAACTGACAATATGAAAACATAGCTGGAAAGGACTATTAGAATCTATTGGTTTACCTGGAAGTGGAATTGGCATGCCAGGAAGGGGAACACGAAACGGAGGTACCATTACTGGTGGAAAAGCAGGTATTGCTGCTGCTGGCTGAGGTACTGAATGAGGAACAGCAGGAGGTAATGTCTGGGGATGCGGCTGGGGAACAGTTTGCACAGGTGTGGCTGTAGGAGCAGGAGTTGAAACACTAACTGTAGGCGTGGCAACTGAAACAGCAGAACTTGGGGTCTGATCTTGTGTTGTGGGTGCTGATAAAAGATAAAACAAAAATATGTATCACTCCTTCATAAACCATTTCGCTATATTCATTCATCATTCACTCATTCAGTAAGTATTTAAGGGCCCATTCCATGCACTGCAAGAAATTTGTAACAAGGTCTCTGTCTTCAAGAAGCTTGAAAATAGTCGGTTAAATGAAATACAAAAAATAACTAAAATACAAAGTGAAATGGGATAAATGTACAGGAGTGTAAATCAAGACGCAAAGACCATTTCTAACTGTGAGAGGGTACAGAAAATTGTATACTGTGATGACAGGCCTTGAAAGATTAGGATTTCAACAAGGACAATGACAAAGTAGGAGGAGAAAATAAGCAAGTAGTGGGAAAAAAAGTGAGTAAAAGCAAAGAGGAGATAACAACAAGGAATTATTTAGAAAATACAAAGCAAGCAGTCAACTAGTAAAACACTAGGCATATCAAAAGAACCAGTGAGTTATGGCTGGAAAGGCAGGCCAGAGGCATAAAGTACAAGGCTCTGGCAGAAGACTAGGGTTTCGGCACTTTACTGGGTAGTGAAAGGGAAGAACTAAGGTAAATGTACAAATCTGACCTAACAGAATGCACACCAAAATGTAGGTACTACATCTGTGTATGCCTTTCACATTTTGCTACATATCGTTCATTAGAGCTTAAATTTTTTATAAGAATGCATTCATGTGTTATTCGTGTCACTTCGTGAGCATAAAAGAGGTCTAGGGGAGGCAAAATGAAGGTTTCTGTATGGAAGAGAATTAAGCAGTGTTCATTTGATGAATTAATCTGACAGATGAATGGGAAGAAAAGGAAGAACAGAGGTGGGAAAATCAATTTCAACCTATCTGGAACTATCCAAGCAAGGAAGAACAGTGAGAAAAAGATATGCAATAACTGATGATTGAGTATGAACAAATGGAGTAAAAAACAAGTTGTGTTTCTCTACAATTATTTCAAAATAAAAAGGTAAAAAAAGAAAAAATAAAAATAACTCATGTTTCCAGTGTGAGAGACCAGGAGAATATGAAATTCGGGATAATTTGATTCTAATACATTATTTTTAAGTACCAAAAATAAAACATTTCATCTCTATCACATTTAAAATCAAATTGTGACCCAAAAAATAAAATCTGTATTTTATACTTTGTAAAAAGTTTCAGTTCTCAAGTATTATAAAACACTTTTGTTATTTATTTATAACCCACTTAGTTCCAAAACAAAATTCATTTTGGTAACTCACTGGTAACAAATACTTCATTTTTAAACTACCTATACTGGACTAAGAATGAATTTATCAAATTAAATGAAAAGAACAGTGCATTCCCAATCTTTATGCCAATTTTATTCTAAGGGAAAGCACGCTATTGAATACAAGCCACCCAATAATCCACCTGACAAAATTTGTTCTTTTTTCAGCTCCTAATAATGAAAAACTCACTTAGGCTGGGAAGATGTGAGCAATTTCATACTTGTTAATGAGGGACTCACCTTGGCTAAATAGACAGCAGGGCCAAACAAGTATCTTCAGGGGCCCAGGAATGAATTGTTGGTCTAGCATAGACCTAGCCTTAGGGTACAGTATCATATTAATATAATTTTATAACAGTGTGAAAAATACAAATTACATGCAACATTTGCCCAGTCCCATAAATATACCACTTAGCATCTGTAATCTACTGTAATGGCTGAAAATATGTTTAGTTATTCTTCCCAACTTCCCTGAGGAGGAGGATTTCATCAGCATTTTTCACAAACTTGCACAGGATAAAATGAGTTTATGCTGAACTGGGGCTAAAATATAAATTTCTTAATTTTTATTTCCATTTACCCACAGGACTATACTGCAGTTCATACAATTACATTTTTTTTAAATGTTATGGTAATAATATTTAGATATAATCAGAAGTACGATAAAAAGTACTATACTCAGGAAAAGAATAGGAGTTACAAAATCATCACATTTCAAATGGAAAGGAACACCAATGGAGATGGCAAAAAGTTATTCACTCAACCCACTCCTCCTGCTGACACAGGATTTTCTAAATCTGATTAGTGGCCATGAGTCATGAGAGGAAAGACATAAAGGCAATGAAAGAATTCAATGGGAAACTGGGAGAATGGGAGCTAGAACTTAATGGTCACTAAACTCCTATTAACACCTTTTGCTAAAGTTAACTAGTGAAAGGCTAGGCCCCAAATATACTTCTAATCCAGCCTCAGATCTTAATTAAAAAAGACAAGTGACTACAACAGATGGAGAAATACTAAGACTGTAGTATGACAACACTTCAGGATACTGAATCAAGTGAAATAAAAACAGACATCAGGAATACTCAGAAAGAACATCAAAAGTGATGTTTAAGGGCAGTAAAAAGAACATGTTTTTGCTACTCTGTTCTTAGAATAAGGGCCTCCCAATCAGTGAACGGCAGTGCAAAAAATGACAAACCAGAGTTCTGAATAGAATAGTTCATAGGAGCAAGACAGCTATGGACCTCTGGACAGACCACCCTGATACAGAAACGGAATACATATACGACAGTTAAAGTATTCTGCTACCAACCTTCTTTAAAACAAAGTACTACTACTTCTCCTTCCTAAGAAGGAAGGGAACAAAAGCATAAGCAACACAGAGCCTCCACACAGAACTGCAATGCTTTTATTAATCTCCTTCTGTCATTACCAGCACAGGTATCCCATAAAAACTGGTAATTTCCTGCCTTACCACACAGGTTTTTAGAAACACTAGCCTATGAGAAGGGAAACCCCTCAGCCAGCTAGTAACTGTCAGTTATACTTCCATATCAGAATCCACCTTAGCTAATCAAGATGTAAAGCATTATTTACATCTTCCTACTAAGTGCATTTTCCCCCAACCTATCTAAACTATATCAAGCGCAGCTGTTAAAAAACTGTCTCTGTATTAGGTGTACCTTACTTCTTCAGTTACTCCAATCCAATCTGAATCTGTTATGATTTAATCTCTCTCACATATTTCTTATAGGATAAAAGACATTAATAACTCCCAAGTCCCTGAAGCCATCTTTTCTTATTCTCATCTATTATCCAGGTAGCAAAATAATCCAACTTCTAATCACCTATAGGGTTAACTATGTATCTTCATACCAGTATCAAAACAAAATAATCAAATCAATAAAATCCTTATTTAAATATTTTGGGGCTCAACCTCAGCCTAAAGATTAAGCAGTACCATATATATAAAAATACAAACAAAAACCTCCCAAAACTAGTAGTGTTAATATTAATGACAATCTTTTAAGCAAATTAATAATTCTCTTCTCATTCCTAAAATCTGCTATAATCCCCTCTCATCTTTTTAGGAAAGGTCTAACCCTGGGGCCTCTGTGACGTTATACATGAAAATTCTCTTTCATTTCTGACTGCTTCTATCTCTGCTCCTCATACATCTGCCTGTATCCCATTCTAGGACCTACCTACCTCTACACGAAATTACTAAAAAGTTCCTAATAACTTTCCCTATTTCAATAACTACCCCCCCCCCCAAAAAAAAGAACGCCAGAAAAATGTTCCAGAACACTGCACTTATACTGGACCCCTGGAACCTACCTGCCTCACCCATATGGCTAGTTCTTAAAACTCTTCGTAACCTGGTCTCACTCTGAATAAATGTGTTAACCAATATAAACCACCCCCCACCTCAGAAGACTTTCTTAACAATCCCATAAATTGCATTTATCCTCACCTCCTGACCTTTGTTTATGCTGTTCCCCCTACCAGAAAGATCTCTTTACTTTGAAATCTACTCAAATCCCACCACACATCCTTCATGATCAATCTCAATACCCACATAGTCTGTCCACCCATTACTCATCTCTCCCTTTTCTTAAATTCCTACCACCTTCTATTTTCAATGTATAACCGGGCACACTACTCCCTAATTGTTCCACATACATTATTCTTGCCTCAATTAGAAAAACTGAAAGTCCTGTAAGGCAGGAACAAAGACTTATGCTTATTTTACAAACCCCACAGCACCCAGCATTACTGTTGGCCGAGATGGAATAGCTACCTCTGCACTTCCCAGTTTAGCTTCATGAACGCCAACAGGACAAATAATTTCTTCTACTAATTTAAATTCCTGTTCTTTTTTTAACCCAGAAGTCTTAGTGTCAAAAATGTATTTTAAGTAACATCAAGGATCACACCTGAAACACTAGCATCATTTTGCAATGCAGTCCCTACTTGTCCATTTCTCTAGCCCCTAAATGAAAACACATGCTGGCTGGTACTCACTTGATACTGTCTGCGAAACCGAAGAGGCAGTTGTTGTGGTAGAAGTGGTAGAGGATGGGGTGGATGATGATGTTGAAGTGGACACTGCAGGTGCTGGGCTACTGGTTGTAGGGGTGGAAGCTCCTACTGCTTGTGCTTGTACTTGTGCCTGCACCTGGGCCTGCGCTTGGGCCTGCGCCTGAGCCTGTGCTTGTGCCTGAGCCTGGGCCTGCGCCTGGGCCTGGGCCTGCGCTTGAGCTTGTGCTTGTGCCTGCGCCTGCGCCTGCGCCTGGGCCTGGGCCTGGGCCTGGGCCTGGGCCTGGGCTTGGGCCTGAACCTGAGCCTGGGCTGCAAGCATAGGTGTCAGTTCTGACTGCTGAATAACCTTAACTCCATCTGGTTTGGTCCATGCAGATTCACGTGTCCGAGCATTATAATAATAAACCTGCAGAGGAAGCAGAATCATTGGTATCCCAGAATCTGTCAACTATCATTAAAAAAACACTAATGCAACTACATCCTGTCTTAAAAGGTATTAAAAAAAAAAAAAAACTTAGAAAAGAGAAGTACATGGAAATTGGCTGTTGGTGTACTGATACTAGAGGTAATTTTCCCCTCCTTTCTCCCCTTCCCCTAATTTTCTATAATGAGCGCTCTGTATTTTTAACACAAAAAGGAAAACCAAGGTTGTATTTTGTGCACAAACTTAACTGAGAAGGCCTCAGACTGCTCTCCTTAGAAAGCCTTGCTTGGGGCGCCTGGGTGGCTCAGTTGGTTAAGCGACTGCCTTCGGCTCAGGTCATGATCCTGGAGGCCGGGGTTCGAGTCCCGCATCGGGCTCCCTGCTCAGCAGGGAGTCTGCTTCTCCCTCTGACCCTCCTCCCTCTCATGCTCTCTGTCTCTCATTCTCTCTGTCTCAAATAAATAAAATCTTTAAAAAAAAAAAAAAAAGAAAGCCTTGCTTGCAGAGTTGGCCCTGACTGGCATTTGGAAACCTGAATTTTAGAAGGGCTCCCACAATTCCCTGGAAACCCTCAACTCCTTGGCTCAGGCAAGCTTCCTTGGTAGACAACACTTCACACGTATTCTCACAATTCCATGCTGGAGGAATTAAATTGTTCAATGTGATTCCACTGAGTGGACTCTTGGAAGCTTATGCTTGGTTTCCTCCAGTCTTTGCCCCATACACCTTTTTTTCTTTGCTGGTTTTGCTTTGGATCCCTTCACTGCAATTAAGCTTAGCTGTGAGTACTAATATATGCTGAGTTCTGTGAGTTGTCCTAGCGAACACCAAACCTCATTGACACTATTTAAAATACAAGCTTCCAGAATCACAGGTAAACATACGTAAGCACTCCAGGCAACCTTATGTCCGTGCAGAAATCCAATCCAGTGAGCCTTTCTTGGAGTTCTACCCTATCCGGTGCTTGTCTGAGACTCATTTTCATTGGCAAGGATACTGTAACTTATCTCCATTTGCCAGAACTCTTAACTTTTACTCTCTTGTCACTACCAAGATAACGACCTAAATACATTTTATAATTTACCTTCCCATCTGGAGTTTTATTTTCAACCCATATCTCCTCAGTAGGAGGCAATGCTGGAGTACCAGGAGCAGTCACAGGAGGCATTCCTGGTGGAAACATCATACCCGGAGGAGGAGGCATGGTTCCCATGGGTGGAGGCATAAAAGGTGGTCTCTGTCAATTAATAAAAACAATAATGGTCACTTGTATTTATCTTTTTTTTTCCCCTTCAAATGACTAAATTCTACCCAAAAGTAAAGTACTATAAGAGAAACTAGTTTTATAGCCCATTCAAATACATTCACCTACATTGTATAAGTTTCTCTTTAACAAAAATGATACTCAAACAGACTAGAAAGGAATACATCAAAACACTAACAGAAGTTCTCTCTGTGTTACGGCATCATGGATGAATCAATCTTGCTTTTTCTTTATACTTTAACAGCATTATTTCATACACTGGGCACTGGATTATTTTCAAAAGGAAAAAACTGATTTATATATCTTGCTGAACACCAAGCACACCAATGCCTCCATACCTCACCTACAACAGGAACCAACCATAAAAGAAACATTATTTTATAAATAAAACAGCAATAACTGAAAAACCAGCTATACATAACCCTTTATTCTCTTTTCCCATTAAGTAACTATAATGTAGGAAAATATTCATCATTTCCTTTTTTTTCAAGTAATACTAATAATGTAGCTCAAACATACAAACATCAGGAAGTTTAAAAGACACGGTAAAAGAGTTGTCCATTTTACTTTTAGTGAAAATAAAAATTTAAATGGTATGTATTACAATTTTTAAACAAATTTCCTGGAACCATTACTGATCTAATCCTCTCTCTGATAATTCCTTTACTGTCATTCTTCAAAGATTGCTGACACAAGACCCCGAACCAAACAATTTAAGTGAAACTGCTATATCTTACTTACTAAAGCCGAAATGTGGCCTGACATTTTAAAAACAGATTCTGAACAGGAATTAAAAAGATTTCCTCTATAATCTGTAAGTTACTTTAAAATTCAATTATCCAAAGCACCTTAATCTGTATAATGGAAGGGACACTATGCTAATAATACGAAATTGCATTTCCTTTTCCTAAAACTGTCTTCTTCCCATATTCCAGGTTTTTCTGGATTCAGTTTAGTCTTTCCAGCAACAGCACACAGACCCTCATTCTATGAAATAACTACTCCAAATATGTCTCATGCACCATTAGGTGGAAAAAATTTGGATTTAAAGTAAAACTACACACTTTATCCATCAAGACCAAGAAAAGTATCAAAACATTAGAAAATATCACATTACAACAACTGATTTATTTCCATTCGAGGGTCACATTAGTCTGTTAACATTTTATAATATTCTACAAGTAGATTTAACTCTTAAAGGCACAAGTTAGAATAAATCCACCTATTATTACAAGTTATACCAGAATCAGTAGGTCAAAAACCTATTTCTTATTCTAATCTTCAAGGAAATATAAAACCATTTAACACTTTGTTGGGGGGGGTAGGAACTATCCATTACTTGGAAGACAATGTAATTATTAAGCAAAATATTAAAACTTTGTGTCTCTTCCATAAATATAACCCTGTCTAAACTGAGTTAACTTCACTTAAATACTACATTACCCTTTTCTATTTTTAGTAAGTTCATTCTTGATTAAGCTAATGGAGGGCAGATGACAGCACTATATTTATTTGGTTTCAGAGGTATGCAAGCTGGATAAACATGAGAACAGATACATACTCAAACAAAAAGAAAGAAAACAATCTCAAAAGTAGACATTTGAGAGTTAATACCTTCATGACACCATTTCAGACATTAACTGAGTCTACATAAATGAGAGAGGAATATTATGCCTCAGGTTAAAATACCAGAAAAGTATTTATTTAAAGAAATCCCACAATAATTCCATTTCTAAAATTTTAAGATAATCCTTTTTTTTTCCCTCAGGGAGGGAAAATCCAAGTATTATACTTATGTCTTTTTTGTCACTTTCTAGATTCTATCCTAAGCATCACTTCTGGGGAGAATTGCTCAGAAATATATATACATATATTTACATTTATTGGCAACATGTATCCCTGAAAATAAATTTCACCCACTCTATATATTAAGATTTCAAATTTCATATCCCATAAAGACAGATTACTAAATTCTCAAGAGATAAAGGCATGTAAGAAATACCTTGCTGAATCCTAATTTTATATGTATGGTTTTCTATCACCATCTAAATTCCCATTCTGAATTTCTATACTAATTATGTTTCCACTGCTTTTGGACAAACACATTAACAGAAGGATGTTCTCTTCAGCTCCCATTTTCCTAAACAGTGAAACGAAGAACTAGCTTTTAAGCAAAACTCATATAATACTGATACTAACACTGACAAACAGCAACCTCTACATTCTTTACCTGGAGGTGCGGAGGGCCCATAGGTGGAGGAATCCCTCCTGGAGGAGGCATTGGCGGCATATTAGGATCAAAAGGAGGACGTCCAAAAGGGGGCCGAGGTGGTGGTGGAGGGCCTCGCATCATACCAAAAGGTGGAGGAGGTCGCATAAGAGGTGGTGGGCCTCGCATCACTGCATTTGGTGGGGGAGCCGGGCCTCGGAACCTCAAGGCCTGCTGTTGAGCCATCCTGTGTGGGAAAGCAATGTATAAATTTTTCCTTCTCAAAATTACTAAATTTAGCTATTGATCTCTAATTAAAATCAAATTTAAAAGGCCCTTAAGAGCAAGTGGAGTTGGAAAGTCATCATTTTGCAAACATCATGATAAAAAGTGCATCGGTAAGAATGATAATTGGTCACCCAGGAGGAAATTTGGATGAGGATGATTATTTGGATGGTCTTAAAATGTCTCCCCACATGCTATTTACAATCGCAGGGTAGGATGAAGAACTACTAACTACATATTAAGGAAATTGGGCAACAGCCTGACCAAGTGATCAAAATTACTATCATCTCTAAAAAGGATAAATGGGTATCATGTGACAGAGAGGGACACAGTATCACCTATTCCGGGTAAGAATGTATAACCTCAATCTAATAATGAGGAAATATTAGACCAACACAAACTGAGGAATGTTCCATTTTTAAAAAGGGAGAAGAAAGGAGGGGTGCCTGGGTGGCACTGTCAGTTAAGCGTCCGACTCTTGATTTTGGCTCAGGTCATGATCTCAGGGTCTTGAGATGGAGACCTGCACTGGGCTCCAAGCTCAACAGAGTCTGCTTCAGATTCTCTCTCCCTCTCCCTCTGCCCTTCCTGCTCATGCATGTGCTCGCTCTAAAATAAAATAAATAAATCTTAAAAGAAAAAAAGGAGGAAAGGGAGTGTATTCTTTACGAATGTCAATGTTATACATAAAAGACGAAGGAAGGCTGTGGAAATGTTCTAGATTTTAAAGGAAGCTAAAGAGATGACAACACAATACTAACCCCAGACTGGATTCTGTACTAAAGAGATGAAATGTCATACAGGACATTTTGAATTAATGGACAACACTTGTGATATGGAGAATAAGTACTGTGTCAGTGTATAGTTATGAAGTTGATAACTGTGTTGTAGTTAAGTATCTCCATTCTTAGAAAATAGACACTTAAGTATTTAGGGGTGAAGGGCCATGGTGTATGTATGTTACCCTCAAATGGTTCCAAATACAAAGTTTTTACGGGAGAGGTAGGTAGCAGCTTAAGTGATCACAAGTATTCTTTAATTAAAGGAAAAGCCTTTTGCCACATTGCGCCCCACCCCATCCCTCAATCTCTAAACACCCTGGTTTGTTTTCTCCATGGCACTTAAACAGATAGGTAGTATCACCTAAGATGGTATTATCTATCTCCTCTCACAAGTGTTTTTTAAAAAAATTATTAACTCTGCTTACTATGTGTCAGGCAGTGCTCTAAGCTCTTTTTAAGTCATTTAACCACCATAACAACCCTATGAGATAGATGCTATAGTTGACCCTTGAGCAATACAGGTTTGAATTGCACAGGTCCACTTACAGGCGAATTTTCTTCAATAAATTCAGTACAATATTAACTTATGTTCTCTTCCTTATGATTTTCTTAACATTTTCTTTTCTTTAGTTTATTTTATTGTAAGAATACAATATATAATACATATAACATACAAAATATGTGTTAATCAATTACTTAGGTTATGGGTAAGGCTTCCAGACAAGAGCAGGCTATTTTTTTTTTTTAAAGATTTTATTTATTTATTTGAGAGAGAGAATGAGAGACAGAGAGCACGAGAGGGAAGAGGGTCAGAGGGAGAAGCAGACCCCCCGCTGAGCAGGGAGCCCGATGTGGGACTCGATCCCGGGACTCCAGGATCATGACCTGAGCCAAAGGCAGTCGCTTAACCACCTGAGCCACCCAGGTGCCCAAGAGCAGGCTATTAACGTTTAGTTTTGGGGGGAATCAAAAGTTATATTCGAATTTTCAAATCACGGGGGGTTTGGGGGTCAGCATCCCTAATCCCCACAGTGTTCAAGGGTCAACTGTATGATCAACCTCATTTTAAAGATGAGGACAGACGAGATCGGGTATGTTCAGGGTGGTATGATCGTAGACTTAAAGATGAGGACATTAAGGCACAGGAAAGTTAAGTATCACTTGCCCAAGACCTCACAGCTGGTTCAGTAGTAAAACTAGGATTTGAACACAGGCAACTGGCTCTTAAACACTACACCATACTGTCTATATAAGGCCCTTTAGAGCAGGAATTCTGTCTGTCCTGCTCTCCTGTATATTCCCAGCACAGAGTTAGGTCTGCACACAGTAGGTCTCAGTATGTGTGGAATCAACCAATAAATACCTAGGTGATATCGTACCTAAGCTACCTTACAAGTAGGGTATGTAGAATATTATAAAGATTATTTTTAATATAATTTGCCTTAGTCTTCCCAGTAGCTACTTCAACTCTCTATTTTATATATGAAATTTACATTTCTGTGCTCACAAGATTAATAGTTATATTCCTTATATATATTTGAAAATAATCATTTTTATACTCTCCTCACCAAGCTCTTCCAACTTTCCTACATTTCCAACCCTCTGCTTAAGGTTATCCTTTGAACTTTCTCTAAATTTTCCACAATGTAGTTCAACTGTCACAAAAAATCCTAAGAACCAAGATGGCTTCCATGAGAACACTAGGATTATAAACACATCCAAGAACTACTATACCAAGTGTATTTAACCAAATTTGCAAATGATCCTGCACTCAAGGTTACAAAGTATGATGTAAAAATGGTGACTACAAAAAGAAGTAAGGATTTTATCAGAATGATCAGTCTTCAAGTTATATGCACTCCCCAAAGACAGATAGCCACTGTTACTGAAGGAAATCTTAACCTTTGAGCAGAAAAAAAGTTAAGCACCAAGGAAAAATACTCTGTTTCAGCACTGAGTTAATAATGTGCCTTCATCTTCTGATTTCCTTGGAGTCTGCCTCTCCCTTTTTGAAAAATTTACAGTAATTCTTTCTTTAGAATTTCACTTCCTAGTTATAGCTTGAAGTTAAGCATTTAGGCTCTAGAATGACAGAACAGTCAAATCAGGGCTCTGCCTCTTGTTGTAGGCTAGTTACATTTTTTCTGAGCCTGAGTATACTCAGATGTAAATTAGGAGGGGAAGAGAAATAAAACTTATCTCCTATCTCTCTGTTCAATGAGATAATGCCTGTGAAATATTTAGGATAGTTATCTGGTACACACTAAACTACATTATGATTACTTTCCTTCCCCCACAAAACCTAGCACAGTGCTCTACTTGAAAAGGCACTTCACTGTCAATTTGACTCAAGAGCTTAGCTATGAAGTCTGCCACTAAAAATGGTGACAAAATTCACAGAATTTCTTCCATCAACAGCCTAAAGTTGCCATCTTCTGATGTCAGATCTGTATGGCACACGTGCTGAGCTCTCTATACCACTCTTTCATTCCAACAGCCTTACTAGAAACTGCAAGGTGGAATAAATGAGCTAATAAAGCACTTGGAACAGCACCTACCACTTAAGTCCTCTGTTAAGTATTAGCTATTGTAACTGTGGCTATAACATCAGTATAGTAAGATTAGTAAGTGTTAAATGGCATTAATATTAGAAAGTTAGCTATACTATAGTGTTAGCTATATTATTATAATTACTATTATCAGACTCCCTATAACCTTACCCCTCTATATTCGACCTCTCTATAGACTCCAGTCTTCTTTTTTGATCAAATAATTCAAAAGTTCATTACCTTGAAGCCTCTGCCTGGCATGCTTTTCCCAATATGTTTACATAACTGCTCCTCATTATTCAGCCTCAGTTCAAATGTTACCTCAAACTCTTTTCCCATCCCAAACCTCTCCTAGCCCCTCTCTGGCTCATTACGCAGTTTGAATTTTCAATTATGATAAATGCTATGAAGAAATTTCTCACTTGTTTACTTTTGTATTACCTCTACCCACTAGTATATAATTTCCCCTTAGTATACTGCTGCAACCCAGTGTTGATAACTGTTCAAGCATTAGTCTTTTAATAATGATATTATTATGAAATGAAAACTGGATACTTTTTACATACCAGGCAAGTTATATGGATAGTATTTGTACTAACTCTTTTATTCTCACCACAACCCAATAAGGTTAAGTTTGGCACCATTTTTACCATTTTTTTAAAGGCAGCTGGCCAGTGGTAGGACCACTGTATTCTTATTCACATTTTACAGTTGAGAAAATTGAGATTGCAAGTACCTTGTCATAAGACATAAAGCATTAATAGGTAAGTAAACAAAGGCCTTGGATAAAGGATCTATACAAATATGACTCTATAAAAGTTTTCTTAATGGTCCCAACCATTAAGGGATGGATGGCATTTGGATCTCTGAATAAATTCTGTCTATTGTGGGTTATTTGTACCCCTATCACTTTCAACCTTTTTGGAAAAGAGAAGGCTACTTACATGAATAGAAAAGCAATTTTTTTTTTTACAAGAACAAATGTACTTCCCTACAAGTATTCTATCCAGATATACAATGTCCCCAGTGGTGAAGACAATGCTGCAATTCCTTTAATAGGAGCAAAAATAGAGAGATGCTATTGATGGGAGTCAAATTAAGTAGTAAGACTGTGAGGAGACCTAGACCCTGCCAATTACTCAATGACCCTGCATAAGTCTCTTCACATTTGCAGGCTGATCATCTGATGAGGTTAGTTTAATTAGGATTTAGATCAATCTTAATTAGCATGGAAGCTCCTTGAGGACAAAGGTTTCTGGTCTGCTTCAAGGCTCTACAGTACCTGCCAGCAGGTACAGAGGTCAATGACCGTCACAAAGCACACACTAAATATAGGTCCAAAAAGGAAACCATCTCTCAATCTCCTTTATTCATTTATTTACCATATAACCACTGAACACCTCATTTGCCAGGGACTATGACAGACACACCATGATATACATAAAGGATACCAATACAAAAACTAAGCCTCAATTTCTACCATCAAAGAAGCCATAGAAACAGGTAATTTCTCTTAAACCCTGAGAAATACTAAAATAAATTATTTAAGTGAAATAGTTTTTACAGTACACTCTGGAAGCAAAACTTCCAACCCAAGAGGCCAAGGTATAAAATGTGTGCAACAGAACACCTAATTAAAAACCCTATTCAAATCAGTTTTGCAACAATGTCTAGCTATTAATAATAAAGTCTAAAAGGCTACTCATTGTAAAGCTCTAAAATGCAAAGTAATGTTCCCAATATGACTAGCTAAGTAACTAAATAACTCGAGATCACAATCAGGAATAAACTTTCCATCACTAATATTGAACCACCCTGACAATGCACTTTGATCACTCATTACTAAAGTGTACATATGGGGTTTAAAGGATTTGAAATTCATTTCTGAAAGAAAACAAGATTTTATTCCTGTCAAATAAGGATTTTTGTGTGTGACAATTCAGAATTTAGAAGACATTTTTCCTGAAAACTTGGGTAACAATACCCATTTCTTTATACAATTTCATCTTGAGCTCCAGACAATACTAAAGAGTCCTCATAACCTACACTGCTCTTTTTCATGTTCAAATGCTGACAATGGCACAATTCAGAATGAGAGCTGAACATCTGAAATGACATTTTTCCCATGCGGGGGGTGGGGGGGGATGTACCAAATATACATAAAGCTCGGGACCTCTTGTCCCCAAATATCACTGACTAAAGAATTTTACTTTATCAAGACACTTTCACTGTACCAAATCTTAATTACAAATTCCATAGGCACTGAGATACCAGAGGAAGAAAGGTCACTGCACTCTTTAGGGCAATGGCGTAAGCAGAAGAATGGAATAGCGATCCAGACTGCAGGCTCTGGAGCCTGACTGCCTTGGTTCAAGCCACTTCCTGGAGCCACAATTCCACCAATGCGACCTTGTCCCACGTCCTCAACCTCTACGGGGTTCAGTTTCCTCACCTGTAAGATGGGCAAGTAACTTAACTGAGGAGGGGCCTGCAAAATGACAATAGCAACTACTCCAAAGGCACACAGAAGCACGTAACAAACGGCTGTTGCTACTGCTGTTATTCACAAATGCGGCATGAGGAATAAAATGAGAGAAAGGAAGGAAACACACAGGAAGTTCAAAAAAGCAAGCGATGTGGGGATGAAGGCACAGGGCAGACGTGGAGACCCCCGAGGGCCGCGGAGGGCGTGGGGAATGCTGAACCAGAAGTGGCGAGGGGTCCCCGGGAGTTCAGCGCGGAGTGGAAGGGGTCGATGAGGAAAACCGGCCCCGCGGCGATGCAAAGCCCAGAGGAAGCTGAGAGGGGTCGAGGCGGAGGCGGCACGCGGCTGAGGCGGGGCCCCAAGGCGGGAACGCCGGACCCCGCCCGCAGGCCGCAGGCCGCGAAGGGCACTGGGGACCCGCGAAAACCGCAGGGAGCACCCAGACAAGGCGCAGGAGGCCGCGGCCCAGCCCCGGGCCGGCTCTCTCATTCAAGCCACCCTCCCCTTCCCCCTTCGCCAACCCCATGCGGTCCTGGCCCCGAGCCGCCGCGGCTCCTCCGTCCACCTCCCACCGCGGATCTCCGCGCCACAGGCCTACCCCCTGGGACTCCACTGTGCTGAAAGGTAAGGGAAGGCAGCGCCCCTTACCTGAGCTCCCCCGGGTTGAATCGCTCACCGTCCCCCCCGTCCCCGCCACGCTCCGCCATTACAGAGGGCCGCGTTCATCCACCCGCCGACTGAGCGTCCCCTATTGGCCGGACGGAGCGTCAATCCCGTGCGAGCGGGGCGGAGATCGCGGAGATCTATGAGATGATTGGTGAAGCTTTCCATCAATCCTCAGGCTGGGGGCGGTATCTGCCTTACGATTGGTGAAAGGGCCCGCCGACTTTGAAAGCGGTATCGAGACAGCCAGTTGATTGGTCACTCGGAGGCTTTATGGGAAATGAGACTTGAGCACCGAGGAACCGCCGGCGCCCTCTCGCGGTAGGGAAAACTAGGTCCTCCCACGTCGTCCGGGCTGCGGTAGCCACGTGTCCGCCGGCTTCCAGGAAAGCCAATTGTGGAGCCATGTTGGCCCCATATTGGCAATACTGGCTCAGGCAGAGTCCCTTTCCGTGCGAGAGCCAATCAAAAAATCGACCTGGGTCGCGCCTAAGCCAATCGCAGAGTGGCTGTGGAAATAAGCTATTTCCCAGCTTTTCAAACTCGAGTCTTAAGCGATCTCGCGATTATAGCCGCGTTATTAATAATAGATTACTAACTACAAAAGTACCTCCTAAATTGTATTGCCGGCTGATGAGTGTGATAAGTTGCTGTATTACGTCAAGTTGGAGGTGGCAAGCCTCTGCTCAGTTTACAGCATATAAAGCATCTGTCCTTCAGTTTGAAATAGGCTTGTCTGAAGTCAGCACACCCTGATACCCCGAAGGAATTCTGTTTATTTCTCTTTTTTATTAAAGGGAAAAATCAAAAATAAACCTTTAGACTCAGATATCATAGGCATAATGAAGATGAACCCTATCATTAAGGAACTCAAAATATTAAAATAATAGATAATTTTTATTCACACCCAACAACACGTACCAGGTACGGTCCTAAGTACTTTACATGTATTAGCTCTTTGAAGTCTCAGAAACACTGAGAGGTGGGTACTATGAATACCCACAGTTTATAGATGAAACTGAGGTACAGAGAAGTAACTTCACAGAACTAGTAAATGGCAGAGCGTGACCAAGGCAGTGAGGCAGCAAAGCCCCATTCTTAAGCACCATCTCCAAGAAAATTGAAAACATACTCGCACACAAAAACTTAATACAAAGTGTTGATAGCAGCATTATCCATAATAGCCAAAAAGTAAAATCACCCAAATGTCCAATCAAGTAATGAACGTATAAAAAAGTGCTATATCTAATCTATACACAGGAATATTAGTCAGTCATTAAAAGGAAGTACTGATACATGCTACAACATAGATGAACCTTGAAAACATTTAGCTAAGTGAAAAAAACCAGACAGAAAATGCTACATAGTGTATGATTCCATTTATATTAACTGCCTGGAATAAACAAATCCAATACAGACAGAAAATAGATTAAGGATTTACAGGGGGTGATGGGAGTGACTGCTAATTGGTATGGGATTACTTTTTGGATGATGAATATGTTCTGGAATTAGATAGTGATGATTGCACAATTTGGTAGTATACTAAAATGCACTGAAATGTACACTTCTAAAGGGTGAGGTTTATTCGATGTGAATTATATTGCAATAAATACCTATCATATTGAACCCCAGCAAAATATTCAAGATCAATTATGATAAAATGTAATCAGGACTGAACCCAGTTCCGAGGGGATCAACTGGTGAAGGAAAGAATGGTTAAAATGTCACTAAATATGTAACATTCAAACAAACTGGAGTCTAAGAGTGAGAGGTCAGGTCCCTTTTTCAACGTCAGCCTGCATCCCCAAATCCTGGCAAACTATTCTGAGAATAACACTGGTATAGATGGCTGAGGACAAACTAATCCCCACTGCTGGGGGAGAAATAAAACACCTCAAAATAGTTACAGAAAGCAAATCACTGGCATGTATAAAAAGTGAAAACAAACTATCAGCTTGAATGAATGGAAGAAACTCTTTGCAGTTGTAATGAAAATTTTGTCATTTGAGACTTTTATTACTTGTCTATATATACACATTAAGATATTTATATCTTACTGGATTATCCTCTTTTTAGATATTTAGAGTGGGCATACACGCAGATGTATATGTATCATATGTACATGATTATTCATATATATATTCATATATAATCATTTCATTGTTTCATTGCCACAGCTTATTCAAATGAACATGAGCTTGAAATTCGGTTATTTTGCGCTCAATAGTTACACAAATCATACTGCAAATATCTGATCTGAGCCGAAACCACAGTGAACCATTTTATTGAATCAATGTGAAATAATTAAAGGGACTCATTGCATCTTTCAAGAGACAAAATGCACTTTCCTATAGTCAAAGCTTGGTAACTCAGGATACTGAAAATGTACATAGCTACACAGAACAGAAAAACAAATACCACCCTTGCCCAGTTGGCAGCAGTTGAATTATAGACCCTAAAACTTACTATATCAAAGTGAGGTAAAGAGACAGTGTTTGTTTAAGACTAATTAGTATCATCAGGGCTTTAAGTTTTAGCTATGAAGTCACTCTTCAGAAGTGACTCTTAAAAAGTGGTTCCAGTGCAGAATCAGGCTTTTCTTTTTAATAACTACCGTTTTGGAACACCCGTCTTAAACCTATGGTAGGTACTTTGCATATACTATCTTTAATCCCCTCAGCAGCCTTGCAAGGCAGACCTATTGTCACCATTTTACATATGGAGAAACTGAGGCTCACAGAGAGTACAGAACTGGCTCAGAGTGACATTCACACAGCTGATAAGAGGTTAAGCTAGGATTCAAGCACAGATGTATGCCACACCAAAGCCAATTGGGGACTGCTAAATCCCACATCTCACCCAAAGCAGAAAGATAGCAGAGCTAATAAACAATTTCTTCCTCTCTGCTCTAGACTGAAATACTTTGAAAGGACTCTGTTTTCTTCACCGAATCCCCAAGTCCTAGTAGAGTATTCATTCTGCTATAAGGTCAGTGGCATCTACTGTGCTGACAGCTATATTATTCCTTATTGGAAATACTGCTCTTGGAAACACTGAAAGAGAACTCAGAAATGGAGATACAGATTCTGAGTACCTACGAGGCCACATGGATAGCAGTTGCTAACAGGGTTCTCATCCTGGCTCTACTAGCTACTGGCTGTGTAATCCTGGGCAAATTACGTGACTTCCCATAGCTTCAGCTTCTTTTGGGAAAGGAAGAGTTGCTGTGAGGTTTTATAAGTAACCATTCACCATGGCCTAGGCAGCAACTAACAGGCCCCAATAAATACTGGTTAACTGAGTTGCTCTGGGGTATTTTCCTAGCTAACGCTTTACCTAAATGGTTAAAATCAAGAGTCTTCAGCTTTTTTGCACCCATACATGTGAAGACGTTGAGCTCTCAGCCAAGAACTAGAACAATATTAGTCTACGAATAGTAAATATCATACTAAATCAACATAAGGATCAGAGCAGAAAATAATCATAGTAGGTTACCTCTGCCTTTTTCCAGCCAGGTAACTCTTTCTTACCTGTATTAGTTATCTATTTCTGGGTATAACAAATTGTCCCACAATTTAACAGCTCAAGGCAACAAAATTTATTATTTCACGGTTTTCACAGGTCAGGAATCCAGGCGCAGCCTCTGGCTGCAGAACTCTCGTGTGAGGAGAATGTCAGGCTGTCAGCCAAGGGAGAAGACTCACCTGAAGTTCAAGGATCTGCTTCTAAGTGTTCTCATCTGGTGGTTGGCATGTGTCACTTCCTTGTACATTCTTAACAGCTGAGGACACACCCATGGGTCTCTCCATGGGGCCGATCACAACGTGGCAGTTTGCTTCTCCTAGCATAAGCAATCTAAGGGAGAGAGAAAGAGAAATGGAGAGAAAGGGGGGCGGGGAGGGAGAGAGACAGAGAGGGAGGGTGAGAGAGAGAATGCCCAAAACAGAAGCCACAGACTTTTTGTAGCTTAATGTTGGCAGTGAAATTTCATCACTGCTGCCCATATCCTGTTCATTAGAAGCAGGTCAGTAAGTCAATCCAGCTCACCCTCAAGGGGAGATTACCCAAGAGTTGAATACCAGCAGGCAGGGAGCCCCGGGGGCCATCTTACCTACCACACTATCTTTTTCAGGTCTCAGCTTCCACGTTACTTCCTCCAGAAAGCATTCTTCAGAGAGAAAATCGGACCTCCTGCTATGCCCATCTTGGTAACTGCCCCTATTCACCCTTCATGTCTCTTAACATTCCGACCACTCATTACTACATATTGTGATACTGAGCATTATGTATATGACATGTTTTACATATATTGTCTTATTTCTTTTCCTGTCAACTTTTTTGTTTCTAATGCTGTGGTACTGTAAATGATGAACATCCTAACATTCCACAACTAAATACATCAGTATGTCTCTCTCAAAACAAAAAAATCCAGTTTTCTACATATCAAGAATGACATTTTCACACTTAACAAAACTAACAGTAATGCCAAATCCATATTCACATTTCCCCCAGCTGTCCCTAAGATGTCATTTTCAGCTGATTTGTCCAAATTACGATCCAATTCAGAACCATGCAATGCATCTGGTTGCCATGTTGCTTACGTCACTTTTAACCTAGAAGAGTTCCTTTGGTCAGGACACTGACTTGCTGAAGATCCCAGGCCAGTTCCACCTCCTGGATCTGCTTGATCGCTCCCTCTTACCCTGGTATTTCTGTAAGATGGAAATTAGATCTGAAGAGTTGGTTAGATAGAAATTGAACATTTTTATGAAGAGAACTTCAGAAGTCATGCTGTTTATTTCCGTTATAACACACCAAGAAGTACACGCGTACATGATGATCCCATCCCTAATGATGCTGAGATTGACACTGGGTTACAGTAATGACAGCTCTATCCTTCCACTGCAATCAGAATACTATCTGCAGTATGAATAGTTACATCTGGACTAGAGTCCGAAACCAGGACTATTTCTGGCAAAATTGGATGAATGCCTATCAACCATTAACTTAAATGGTTTAATGGTTTTGTCTTTTCCTGAATCAGTATTCTCCTTAAAGGGTGGCAAAATAATGAGTTTCTAATTATATGTTACCTTCTACATTTACTAACTAACAATTCTGTAAATTAGAGATTTCCCTGAACAATAGTGGCTATTTAGTTACCCCAAAATATAGTTTCTATTTTTTTTTTTTATTTATTTGAGACAGAGAGAATGAGAGAGAGAGAGCACATGATAGGGGGGAGGGTCAGAGGCAGAAGCAGGCTCCCTGCCGAGCAGGAAGCCGGATGCGGGACTCGATCCAGGGACTCGATCCAGG